GCGTGCATGCGCACGCGCACGCACACGCGCACGCGCACACGGTGACATGAATATGAAAAAAAAAATGACGACTCCAACAAGTACAAGTGGGAGGTTCACATGGAAATCTAATGCTGTTCCTTGGCGATGGTGCTTAATCCACAACCAACACATTCCTTCAGCCTAGGCCATCAGCTGACACCAACCATTTGCACCCAAAAATGCAAGTTCAGCAGTTGTGCAGTGTGCAAAGATGCAGAACTTTCAAGAGAGCTAAGAAATCCCCACGTGGAGAAGTTGGCTCCTGCTTCTGAGAATATGAAACACGAACATTATGTTAACAAGAAAATGCTTGTCCAGAGACACCCAGCCTTCTAATTCCAGGCTCTCTGCTCAGACGCATAACAGGGCTTCAAAGAGCCCACAAACACCAGCCACAGGACATGCCCATGAGGGAGAGCAGAAGCTGGCTATCCTGCATGTGACAAAGCCAGGAGTTCCCTGATCGGATTATCAGCCTTTTCCTGCTGTATCACATGCAGTAAGTTACACCTTCAGTTTTTTCATCTGATCAAGCTACCACAGTAATGAGCAACAAAAGGCAGGAAGATTTACAGGCCTAGCAGATCTGGGACTAGTTTCTGGATCTGCCAACTTCTATTCTGTTGCTCTATCCTGCAGATCTAGGAGGATCAGATTTTATAAGGGCAGTCCTGATAGTCAGGACTTTGTCTTATATAGACTCCTATTATCCCTTACCCTATCCTGATTTTTCACACTTGCTATCTGGTCACCCTAAGTAAGCCTCATTGTGCAGCCCCTAGGTAACCCATTTGTTCTGAGTGTATAACAGAGCTTGATCCAAATTTTTGCTTAGCATAAGAGGTGGCAGGTGTCAAACTGAACTCAGCTAGGTTTGGGGTATCAGTTTTCTTCGGGTTACCTGGCCAATCCAGCTCTGGTTTACACAGAGTCTACTGCCTCTTTTGTAAAGAAAAAAAAATAGGACCACTCTGTTCAGAGATGAGCACAAGAAAGGCTTATATTAGAGACAGATAGTTCTCTATAGCAAAGGAATACAGCTGAACATTCAATTCAAATGAGCATAGAGTAACAAATTGGGATTAGAGATGTGAAATCCCATTTAATTGGTTAACCAGTTAAACATGATGTTTAACCAGTTAACCAATTAAAGAGGGAGTGGACTGGAGCAGCCTGCCCACTGCAGACATCAGAGCAGCCCCTGCCCACAACGGGTGGGGAACTGCTCCAGTGCCTACCAGTTAACTGGAACCAGTAAGCACTACCAGTTAAGGATGATTCTTAATGGTTAACCTTTCACATCCTTAGAATGGGTTAGGCAAAGTGAACAATGCCTATTCTAAGACCCTGACCACTGACTGACTCAGCACCAGTTTTATTCGCTATTATATACCCATGGTGCAGCTGAGCACACCCCTTTTCCACAGCAATCCCGGAAGTAAGCACATGGTTAAAGTAAGGGGGAGAATTGTAGTGGAACAGCTGACATCAAGTTCTGCTCCACAGGGTTTTAGTTATGATAAGAGGGAGAAAATGATTTTGCATTCCCAGAAGACACGGAGCCAGGCTACAGTCCAGCCCTGTAACAGCTGAGCACAGGGCTCCCCTCCCATTAATTAGGAGGTGGTGGTGTTTTTTTTTTTTTTTTTAAATAGTGTTTCCTACAAACCCTCCAAATTAACAGGAAGTTAATTTTCTGCATGCAGAAGGACCACTGTAGAGCAATACAAGAATAGTCACGGTTATAAAGTTACAACTCCATATAAAGAGGTTGAGCTGTGCAGCTTCACAGATCTGAAATTAAGAAACACAGAATAGACAAAAGACATTCAGAAGCAGTTAGTGATTTTGGGTAACCCTCTTTAGACATGCTGGAGGATCACATTTCAGAAGGTGCCGAACAGGTCTGCTGACACTGGGGACAAAGGGGGCAGTTGCCCCAGGGCCCGGTGCTTCGAAAGGGCCCAAGCTCGGAGTCCTGGACTCTTTGAATCACTGCTGGAGTACTCCGCACCAGGTGGCTCTGAGGAATGGTAAGGTGTAGGGTGACATAGCACACTCCAGGCAGCACGGAAGGCCGGCTGCCCCAGTCCTACTCCTTCCACTCAAGGCTATACCCGTTCTGTGAGCACAGAGCTCCCCAATACCACCTTGCCCAAGGCCTGACAAGTCTGTCGGCTCCCTTTGTGCTGCACACTTGCTCTCTGAAAACCAGGCAGCTCTCAGCATCTCAAGGTGAGCACCAATGACAGAGGCGCACCCCAAGTCACCAGTCACTTTTGTATGACTTGGCCCTGTTTGAGACTATGCCCCAAAGATGACAACAAGCTAAGATGAACTCACCATACAGCAGGGCAATCTCTCCACTTCGTCCGGGTTTGGGCAGTTATGAGACCACATGCACTTTCCAGCTCTATTGCTCTCAGAGTGCAGAAGCCACTGGTCTCTCTTCAGTTCTGGTCTGTGCAGTTCATCCTGCCTGGCTGTATCATCTCTTCTCTCCCTTTCCCCTAGAGGTCCACATTTCAGCTGAGCAGGGCTATTAAAGATGAATATGTTAGCATTGCTAGGAAGTTCACTCCCAACAATGCTCCCTCTGCTCCAACCACAATCCTCAGTGAAGATGATAACACTTGGACAAATCTCCAAGACTCTCCCGGGTTTGACTTTTATTGTCCATTCAGGGAAAAGTTCTTCTGAGGTGAGCGGACACTCATCTGCTATTAATGCATAGTCAGGCTCTTCTTCAGGATTAGATGTATTGCCCCTCATGCAGAAAAAGCCATAGAGACCTTCTTCATCCTCATTTCCAATAACCTTATCATGCTGGCCTGGGATAAAAGGCAGCATCATCCTGTGCTTCGCATCCTTGGGATCCATGGCCCATGAACAGAGATCACCACTTGATGAAAGAGGCACTAGCAGGATAAAAAAAAACCCATATAGTTAGTAATTGTTTTTCTCCAAGTTATTGAAAAGCACTTGGCAAAAAAATTTCAGATCTGTTTGCTTTACTGTGCTGCTTGCTGCCTACTTCCATTTCACTCTGCTTGGCCAGAGACACTACAGTATCTGTCAGTTGTACTGTGGAGTGCAGACCACTTAGTTGAGACTCAGGGCGCTATTTCTGGCTCCATCAGCGGCCTGCTGAGTGACCATGGGTAAGTCACTGCATCGCTCTATGCCTTAGTTTCCTCAGGCCCTGCTGATGCTATGTGTTGTAGAGGTAGGTATTCTACACTCCCCTGATTATACTCTCAAAGCTCCTCACAACAGTTAATGTATTTTGGAACCATCTGTGAGGTAGGGCAGTCCCATTAGTCTCATTTTATGGCTGGGAAACTAAGGCACAGACTGGCCAAGACTGCTTGGGAACTCTGGAAAGGAACAAAATTGATCCCAAGTCCAAAACTAACACTCTAATCATTGGACCTTCCTTCCTATCCACTGGCTACTCAGTTTGGCCTTCTTGTTTGCTCAGTGCTCCTAGTGTGTGTGCTGTAACACTGCAAAGGAAGGTTTAAATCCAGAACAAGCCTCTTTTCACTAAAAATGTATCATCAGTATTAAAGCACATAAATCCACAAACCCCAAGGTAGAGTAGTTGATAACAGTCATTTTTATGGACGTGCTCTCCTCCTCCTTACTTTCAAAATTTGCAGAGACACTTGATGGGGGACTTAGGCCCCAACCCTATATAAAAGTCAGTCTAAATGAGCTGTCCCTCGGTTCTGTGCAAAGCCCCACTGCCTTTAGAACTCCATCCAGGCATAAGCCTTTACCTGCACAGACCCAGTTTCAAGGCTGCAGACGTACACCCCCAATTCTGGAAATACTTTTGCAAATAAAGTCTGTCTGAAAATTAGTTGCAAAGTAAGGACATGTGTAAATCAAAAGCTTGCAAATATGCATTGCCTCTGGAAAAATCAGGTAGTAGGTGCTTCGTACAGCATTTAAAATATGAAAACAAAAGCACAGTTTGGAACAATTCTTAAATACACGGGGGGGGAGTAACAACATATATCACCATTCCCACCATTGCAAAGTACACAAGTCACCAACCCAATACAAGTGGATTGCTTTTTTTTTAAATTTAAGAATTCTGTGAATGGGTGTTTGATTCTCCCTCCATTTTAGATTTTACGATGTAAACTAAAACACAGATATCCTGGCTTTCAGAGGCAGGGAGCTACTGCGCTTTAAGAAAAGTGCTCTTGTATGCTCTGAAACAAAACAAGTAACAATAAATATGGCTGTATAGCATTCTCTCTATGCCGTTTCCTTTCAATGTAAGATTGTTTTCTACAGATGAGATAAAAGTCATTTCTTTATGGTCACGTGCATGTTCCCCTCTACTCGGGCTTAACATTCTACATTTCTGACAATACTCAATTCCTCCCACACCAGAAAGCCAGCATTTCAGAGCACGCTCTCTGTATGAGCAAGGTGAGGAAGCTCAAGGGAGTAAAAGGGTGCTGAAGTGGTCCTGTCCGTTCCACCTGGCTGCTATCTAAAGTTTTCTTTCATTCTATCAAACAGACAGACGCACGCACACTACACAGAATAGGAGATCTCAGATTTATCACACACACATACAAGTGGCAAATTAACCTAAAATGTGCACTAATTGCCCCAGCATTAGCAGAGATACTCAGGGGTCTGAATGAGTCACAAAGTGCTACATAGTCCTGTATTTTGCCTCACAAAGATCACATTGTCTCCAGTAAGTCCTGTCTCAAGTATGTAGTATATTAGGACAGCTTTCAAGGTGCCGAGGAAGATTGCACAGCTGCTGCCCATCTTGCCTCTCTCATGTGGAGAGGATTTCAACCTACAGGGCTTTTATCCACATAGAGCATCCTTCCACCACTCCAAAATACAATCCCACACAAACCTCAGATTGAGCCACAAGAGAAGGTCTGGGAATTCCACAAGTGTGTAGCAAAGCCAGTAATACTGACAATGTAACAATTCCCTACTATTTAACTGCATGATCCAGGAACTCACTAACACCCCTTCTCTCCTCCCCACTCCCCGTCAGCTCAGGGAAATTGGCTGAGTAGAGTGAAGCTGGCATCTGCATTTTGTTAAAAGCTTTTTATTCTCTCCAGGATTTTGCCAGTTTTTCCTTTATTTCTAACCCTCAAATACCCCAGGTCATGTTCACACACACTCTAGCTAAGTAAGGTTGGACACTGCTCTCTTTAGACCTTGTCAGTGCTGCTGCTGGACTAGCTAGAGAGAATTGCCAACGGCCATTGTCTGTTTACCTCTGTGGGGTGAAATCATACAGTTATTAGCTCCCCAGCACATCCTCCTGTGCTTTGGCTCTTAAGCTACTTCACGTTTTGATCAGACACACGGCAGTCATGCACCTGGAAGAAAAGTGCATGTCATTCATATTCTGCTAAATCCAGCTTGCCAGTTCCTACTCACCTTATCATTCTAGTAGAACAATTCCATCCCCAGCCATCCTTCAACATAATGCTTCCCAAAGTGAGCACCCCAGCTGAGACACCTGGGAGACAAGCCTCACAACCAGCAGGAGGGTGCAGGGCCTTTGTCCAAAGGAAAATACAAACAGCATAGATTTAGCAGTCCCAGGCTCAAACTCAACCTCCTGCTGCTGTTACCGCCATTTCCAACATCACCTATAAAGAGGGGCAAAGGTCAGATGAGACGCTGCAGTTTTAATTGCTGTGCTGATAAGTCTGCAGATAAAGCTGCTTGCCTATCTGACTCTCCTTCCTCCCAGAATTCCCCAAGAGGGGAATTTTTAGTCTTCTGGGCAGATCTTTTTTCATTATTAGTTTTGGCTCCCCTGCCAGGGACATCCCAGTGCCATGGTGAGACCAGTTGAGGGAATTTCAGTCTGCAGAGAAGGGCTTCTAAGAAAAGGGGGAATCTGAAATTAGGTATTAACTGGAAAGACTAGTAATTAACACTACAACTGCATCCAGGAATTTCATTCTTTTCAGAAGAAAGGTTTCATTAAACAATGAATTCTACTGCACTTTCCAGAAGAGCCAGGCTAGGATTCCTTTGGACTTTCATGAATGCATGAAGTCTGCAGAGGACAAATCATTTTCATGTTTGTCTGCCCAGAAACTGGGCTGCCACCTTCTAAGTTGGGTGGTCAATCTGAGCCTGAGAAGGAGCCACAATTTACCAATGTACGTGGCCAAGGAGCTGCAGTAATATGTCAGGAGCCTTTCCCATTAGGCCCCCCGTACCACCTGCCCACCAGCAGCCCTGCTGATCTGCACCTCCCACTCCTTTTCCTACCACATTCAGCTGTTTTGGCAGTGTGCAGGAAGCTCCAGGAGGGGACCACTGTAGACTCAAGGGAAGGAGCAGGAAGGGACAAGGCTCTAGGGGAGCAGGAGCCTGGCATGGGACAGCAGCAGAGGTCAGGCCACAGCAGTGGGAGCTGTAGGAAGAACAACTCAGCACCCTGCTCCACTCTGCTGTTTTCTCACACAGCTGGGTCACTCTGTTTCAATGCAGTGGCAGGAAGCAGAGACACACAGCCCCAGTTCCAACCTCTTCTGCTCCACTCTGCGGAGCCTGCATCACTCTGGGAGCAGAATGGCTAGGGCTGGGTCACTCTGTTTCGCACCACCACAGTGAAGTGGAGCAGCCTAGCTGGGAGATGGCAGGGTGGAGGTGGCTGCTGCATCACTCTACTTCCCACGTCTCTGGCCGCTGTGATGAGTGCAGAAAGGAGGCAACCCCTGCTGCCGTCCCAGACCAAAACGCCCCATGGGGCTAAACTCCGTATGTGGGGGGAACTGTGCCATTCATAGTATGATTAGGGCAGCCACTGGGGGCTCCCCAAAGCATGGGACCTGGGACAGCCATCCCAAACCATTCTATGCAGAAGATGGCTCCAGGCTCCATTAGAAAAGGAGCATCTTTAGCTCCAGGCCCAGATTTGGTGCCTACACAAGGAGCCACACATGAGCTCCTGAAGAGCCATGTTGGTCACCTCTGTTCTAACTTTTCCTAGTACAAACTGCTCTGGGCCCCTGAAACACAGGAACATAGGTAAGGGAACAAGTAGTCCGTAGTACCTTGGAGACTAACAATATCTGTACCTAGCTATATATGTACGTACAGTATCAAGAGCTTTTCTGAGCAAAACCCGCTTCTTCAGATGAGATGATCTTGAGTAGGTAAGGGAGACTTGGCTGAACTAGAATCCCAGGTCTGCCAGTCAGGTCTGGAGCACTGGGGCCAGGCCCCATCACCTGTGGGGCTCAGCCAGGAACTCTGTATCCCCTCAGGTCTGAGCTGGCTCTGAATTTCCTGGCTGTGTTGCAGGTTTATTTGCTTGGCCAAGGGAGACCCACCGCAGCCCCCAACCTCTCCTTCCTCGGCAGCCCCTCGGAGGGCGCGCTCTGCACGGGGAGCTAGAGAGTTGCAACCTCCCCCTCTCCCCCCAACACTGGGACGTTTTCTTGGTGTCATGTTACATTTTTCTTTCTTCTCAGAGGTTTTTCTGGCTATCCCGTGCTATTCTCCTCCTTTCTGTTACTTAGTTGTGTGGAAACAGCTCTAGGTTTGCATTGAAGCTCATGTTAAAACTTAGATTAGTTCATTTGAAAGTTATTTTTCTGCTGTTATGCAAGTGATGACTTATAGTAGCAGTGAATACAATATTACATTATTTCCTTTTTTCCTCTTTAATGAAAGCCCACTCTGCTATGTACATTGGACAAACATCTCAGACACTTCGCCAAAGGATTAATGCCCACAAAACAGATATCAGACAAGATCACAAAGAGAAAACAGTTTCTTGCCACTTTAACCAGAAAGGACACTCTCTAAATGACTTAGCCACCTGCATTCTGCTACAAAGACCTTTTACATCTGCACTTGAAAGGGAATCCTCTGAACTGTCATTCATGTTAAAATTCGACACTTACCACCAGGGACTTAACAAGTCTTTGAACTTTCTCACCCATTACCAAGACAGTTTCCCCAATTATCACCTGTAATACCATTAACTCACAAACATCCCACTCTCCCTACCTTTAATATCAGCAATTCACAGACACTTACCTTCCTTCCTCCCCCTTCCCACCCCCCCCGCATCCCCCTTCTGTTCTGCAATGTGATTTGTCCTTTTCATATTTGTTCATTTTTTTTTAATTGTATCCTTTGGTATATATGGTTGTGACTACTTTCTTCCACTATTTGATCTGAGGAAGTGGGTCTGGCCCACGAAAGCTCATCATCTAATAAACCATCTTGTTAGTCTTTAAAGTGCTACATTGTCCTGCATTTCGCTTCCCCCGGGGCAGCTCGGAGTCTGCAACGGTCCTGGTGGGCCCTAACTGCTCGTTCACAGCTGCTGGCCGGGCGGAAATGTGTCTGTAGGGGAAATGCCTCCTGGCCAGCGCCAACTACCGCCCTAAACCGTACCTGGGTGTCTTAATCTTACTAGGAGATGCCTCCAAGCACAAGGAGGGGGCAGAATTCTAGCTAAGACATCAAGGAAAATCCCCATCCCCTGATGGACTTGCAGAGCACGTCTCCAAAGGAAACAGGATTCTGCACTGCAGCTAGAGCTGACTTTAGGAATTGACATACCTGCCTTCTGCTGCTTTGGAAAAGAGGCTTTGATCCAAAGTACAAACAGTCTTTCTGATCGCAGAGGACAATGCTACCCATAGATCCTAGGCCAGAGTCTCAGTTTTAATCTACCTTTGCACCTACGGGCTGTGTTTTTCCAGAAAAGCAGCTGCTTTTCCGGAAAAACTTGCCAGCTGTTGACGCGGGCCACTTGAATTTCTGCAAAAGCACTGACGATCTCATGTAAGATTGTCAGAGCTTTTGCGGAAATACGATGCTCCCGTTTGGACAAAAGTCTTTTTCCGAAAAACTTTTGCAAAAAAGAGCCAGTGTAGACAGCAGAGAGTTGTTTTCCGCAAAATATCCCCGATCGCAAAAATGGCGATCGGGGCTTTTTTGCAGAAAAGCGCGTCTAGATTGACTACGGACGCTTTTCTGCAAAAAGTGCTTTTCCAGAAAAGCGTCCTGCCAATCTAGACGCGCTTTTCCAAAAATGCTTTTAACGGAAAACTTTTCCGTTAAAAGCATTTCCGGAAAATCATGCCAGTGTAGACATAGCCTCTGTGTTCTAGGGTGGATGTAGAGCCCAGTGAAGACTGGAGCAGCAAACTTTCTGCAGCCAATAAAAGCTGCAGACCCACTTTTGCCCCATGAAAGCTCATTACCTAATAAACCATCTTAAGTTTAGTCTTTAAAGTGCTACATGACTGCTTTTTTTTTTAATACCAAGATCAGACTAACACAGCTACCTCTCTGTCACAGCAGGGAGAGTCTGCTACTTTAGGTCTCATGTTGTCAGAGCAGCATACGTTTTAGGCCTTAGGAAAGGAGCACCTTAGTTTTCAGGGCTAGAGCCCTAGATTTGTCCACATTACAATGCAAAGCATAACTACTAGGCCACTTGGCTGACGCAGGAGGTACTTATTTAAGAGTTTGTTTATAAAGTGGAACACACATGCACAGTACACACCCTTTTTAACTCCCTTTAGAATGGAAACAGAAAAGTCTGATTAAATCATCCAGCTGATGATAATGCAAAACTGCCCCCTACAGTGCATTCCTAAGGATATTGTCTGGTCCAAGTATGAGCAATTCCCACAATGATAACTGTGTTCATTGGTGCTGGTCCAATTGACCTCAGTGTGGCCTAAATCTTCCTTTGCTGGTTCTTATCACTTTCTACTTATTGCAAGCCACCTTCAAGAACATAGTCAATTAGAAGTAGAGTCAAATTTCAGAAAAGGGGTTAATTTTTGACCAGCTTTTACTTTTGAGAAAAAGCATGTTTCAGGAGGAGGAGGGGGAATAGATGAAAGAGGTACAAATATATTCTGGTTTTTGGCCAGCTCTCACCTTAAGTAGTTTCAAGTCTACCATTGTCCCTCCTAACTGTTTAGAGGGTTGACAGTTTAATTGTCCTATTTTTTAAAAATGCATCCCCCCTCCCTCCTGCACTGTAGCAGTGGAAGAGACTCTCACAATCAAGGAGGTAGCATGGGGGCAATAAAGATAAGGAAATAATGAAGCTGCCACTACTAAAAGCGCGAAGACTTCACATAAGCAGAAATCTGAAAATGAAAGAATCACAGTCCTTCCATTCTAGTGATACCGGTGTTACTTATTACAACAGTAAGTACAAACTGGTCAGAATTGTCAACATTTCCCACATCCATCAATAGCACTGACACCCTTCAGCATCTTGTACTCATATCCCCTTTTCTGTTCTGTTGTCACCCCCACCATCCTGGAAATACAAGAGATGGTGTCACAACCCGTGGCAGAGCACACCATTTCTGGCAGGAAATGAAAATTTAGTTTTGCTGTCTACTGTGTTTTGGTTTCTCCACTCTAAGAAGCAGTAAGATGACAAGTTAGCACCACTGTTATATTTAAAGGTTTCCCCTCTCAAGAGACCTCGTGGAGTAAGAGCCTTCAACTTTTGTTGCAGGAGACCAAATAAACAAACAAATCCTACCTTCACACACTCATGTGGTGCTAGCAGCTTTTGACCACTAGATGGCTGAATTTGAACTAGTGGTTTTCACTGCAGAGGAAGGTAGAGATTTGCACACCT